CTGGCAAGAAAAGGGTGAGAGGCTTGTTTCACCAAAAGTAGCCAGAGGTTTGGGCACAATAGGTGCTTCCCACCGTCATGTATCTGTAGGAGAAGGATGACATTTTAATGGGGGAGGGTCTTCCTACTCCTCTGTCCCTCCCTGAAACAAATGCTTGCTTATGTGGTGCAGGGGGTGTTCTGTACGTTGCATAGCTAGGGGTGGGTGGGGATGTCTTTTTTAATATATATGTATATATAACTATCTTGATGGCCTACCATAGTAGATGCAGAAGAAGCACTCTCTCCCATCCCACCCCCATCCTATATTATATGATGGTGCTTATTCATCAATAAGCGGAATCTCCTGGCCGCATTTCCACAGTTGCGCAAGGGAAAGGGTACGGTGTGGCACTGCCCGAGCTGCAAGGCCATGTTTGAAAGCCATGGTGGTTTTCCCTGCCCCTCTCCCTCCTTCTTTCCTTGGCCAGTTCTATTAAAATGGCACCTTAAATAACGGGGTAGGCGAAGACGGGGTGGGGGAGAAGTGGCCCTCGGAAGTTGGGGTGGGGGACCAATAGTGAGGGTGCACCTTTTCCCCTCCCCCAAATGCCAGGATGGCGAGCCCAGATCAGAAGTCCCCCAACGTCCTCCTGCAGAACCTGTGCTGCCGCATCCTGGGGAAAGGCGAAGGTAATGCCAGGGATCGCCTCCTCAGAGCCTGATAGGATGGGGTGATTGGCTACCAAGCAAAGGTCTGGAGAGGAGCCAGGTGGGGGGGGAAAGGAGGAGGAGGGTTGGAGGAAGGGCTTTTTGCTGCTGCCAGAGCTACTAGTTGCTCTCTGGTTGGAGCAATCTGGGGGGACCCTGTCCTCCCACCCACTTTCCTGGTAGCAAGGTTGGTTAGTTGGTTGATCGGTCATGTGACTAGCGGTGAGACTATCCGAGTGGCTCTCTGGTCCCTCCCTGCCATCTCTCCCACCAGAAGTGATGCTCACCAGTGGCAGTGCCATGGGAAAGACAGGGCTCTTGGGGGGCATGTCTTGCAAGTGTGGAGGTGGGAGTTCTAGTTTCAGGCTCCCCTTTTTGCATGTGCATGTGAGCGTGACATGCCCACCTGCAAGTGTGACACACCCACCTGCCAGCACGGGGGTGCCCCCACCCCCCAACTGGTCCACGCATGGAGCCTGCACCCCCCAAATGGTCCATGATCCCAAAAACATTGGGGACCACTGCCTTAGGGGGAAAGTAACCCCATTCAGGGCAGGGAAATGGCCCTTCAACCTGTCCGGTGAAGCACCCACTAACAAGTTTTCACAACCTTGCCTCATTATACAGGCCAAGACACCAACCAGGTATGAGATGAAAACTAATTTTGGTTCATTTTTTCCATTTTTACCACCTTCCCTCATTATACAGGCCAAGACACCAACAAGATAAGAGATCAAACGTAATTTTGGTTGATTTTTTTCCATTTTCACCACCTTCCCTCCTTATACAGAACAAGACACCAACTACGTAAGGGACCAAATCTAATTTTGGTTTATTTTTTTCCATGTTCACCACCTTCCCTCCTTATACAGCCCAAGACACCAACCAGGTAAGAGATCAAAACTGTTTTTTTTTTTCAGTTTTACTGCCTTCCCTTCTGTGTTGTGATTTTTTTATTTTTTTATATATTTTTTGCGTTTTGGTGTAGTTTTTTTCCCCACCCCCATCACGTTCAGGCTGGATATGTGTATGTGGAGGGTGTTTTGTGTTTTTTTTTCCCCCAGCCCCATGGCGTTCCTCTGGGGCTGGCTATATGTATGGGTGTTTTTGTGTGTTTTTTTCCCAGTTGCATTCCAATGGGGCTGGCTGTGGTGTTTTTTTGGGTTTTTTGTTTTTGTTTTTTGTTTTTGTTTTGGTTTAAAAAAATTCCGGTTCCAATGGGGTTTGCATTGATTTTTGTTTGTTTGTTTGTTTTTTGGTAACTTTTTCCCAATTGATTCCTGGGTATTTTTTTCCGGCCAGAATGGATTAATGGGGTTTCTATGTATTCCTGTGGGAAATGGTGCTTCGACCATTTTGAGTTATGCACATCTTCTAGAATAGATTATGGTCATAAGTCGAGGCACCACTATCACTGTAGTGTGGTTGTTGACTTTGAGCCAGATATCCTGGAAAGTGAAGTCAACTGGGCCTTAGAAAGCACGGCTAACAACAAGGCCAGTGGAGGTAATGGCATTATAGTTGAACTATTTAAAATCTTAAAAGATGACACTGTTAAGGTGCTACAGTCAATATGCCAGCAAGTTTGGAAAACTCAGAAGTGGCCAGAAAATTGTAAAATATGTCTACATCCCAATCCCAAAGAAGGGCAGTGCCAAAGATGCTCCAACTACCGTACAATTGCACTCATTTCACACACTAGCAAGGTTATGCTCAAAATCCTCCAAGGTAGACTTCAGTAGTATGTGGAGCGAGAATTCCCAGAAGTAAAATTGTAAAATATGTCTACATCCCAATCCCAAAGAAGGGCAGTGCCAAAGATGCTCCAACTACCGTACAATTGCACTCATTTCACACACTAGCAAGGTTATGCTCAAAATCCTCCAAGGTAGACTTCAGTAGTATGTGGAGCGAGAATTCCCAGAAGTACAAGCTGGGTTTCGAAGGGGCAAAGGAACTAGAGACCAA